AACTTCCTCTGAACAACAGCAATTCCTCACCACTCGCGACCAAGAAAATATGTACAATTCTACCCGGGGCTCGTAGAGCAATTGCACGGTGACACCTCACAGTGCAAGCCCCAACAAAAGGATTACTTTTGTTATCCCTCAGCTGAACGCGGTTGACACGGCAACCTAAAACCTCAAGCAGACAAATGGCTAAACTTTGACATTAAAGATACCCCCCCCCCCACTTTGTGATGCTCTAACTTCCCGAGCACGGAGCCTCGTTGCAGCGAGACTTGCGCACGTGCTCAATGCGCCTGCAGACACATGAGGCACGCATGTCCTTCTGTGCCTGGGTAAGATGAACAGGCGATGTCGCCAATTACTCCCCCCAAGAATTTGGAGTTTAGCTTTCGACTGAGGAGACGAAGCATCGTCACTCACATCCGCGGAGGCAAGAATGTGCATGTCTCATCCGACTTATCATCTGAAAAACCGTGCAATTCTAAGCCATCACATGCTCCCGAGTCCAAAACAGTGCTTTGTCTGAGGACTTCGCACATGGATACGCTTTCGCAGCTGGCGGTTTCCCACAATCTTGGTGATCTCTACGCCTCAGCCCGTGCTGAAGAGGCTCGCCTAAACTAATCTTGTTCGAGCTCGTGACGCAGCACTTGCTGCTTTCCGCACTGACCCTGAAAGGAACTGACCCAAAGCGTTGAGGTTGACGTTGAACACGATGCCGGTGCGACCATGGTAGAGGGAGTAGGGCAAGCCTTTGTCGTGGAGCAGCTGCCAGGAAAATGCTTAGATCGTTTCGAAAGCGCGCCTGGCCTTTCTGGATGGAGGGATCTGCCACGATGTCGACGTAGTCTCCACGCTTGAAGTTCACAAGGTAGCGGGCGATGCCGGGTCTACGGGTTGCTGTGCCGGTCTTAACACGTGTCTAGCTTGCATGTGAAGTTTTCTCTAAGCAGCAAATCAAATGTAATTGATGGCCTGCCCTTCGTGCGGTACTTCTTGGAATACCTTGGTCAGTCACAAGAAGCGAGCGCATGCTCTTCTCCGAGTTCGAGCGGAATCTTATGTGCTGCAATCACACAGCACTCAGACGCACAGAACTGAAATACACTGCTGTTGCAGTGCTTCCAACAAATTATGTGGCACTGCACTATAGGGTCATGTAGGGCGTTGAGCGGGCAAACACGGGTGCTGTGACTCCGGGCAATCTAATTGCCGATGCGTTTTTAGAGACTTCTAGTCGCCATCTATCAGGTACGCGTAGACAACTTCGAGGGGCCGAAGGATTTAGGATACAATTAAGAACGGTGTCACTAGGCACACGTAAAACCTGTAGCCAACATGCTAGAAAAGCCCTTCCCAGAAACTCAAGGGAATAACCTTAAACAACAACACCGAAACGGCCAAAAAAACAATGGCAAAACAATCCAACAGCAATACCAAAACAACCAAGAATACCAACACAGACAGAAAGACGATACCCAAACACCAAACAACACAACAAAAAGGACTCCCTGATGAGGCAGGCCAGATTGGTTTGGCCAAGAATATTGGGATATTCTTTTCGTGTGCTCGTTGTTATGTTTTGGGTTTTCCGGGACTTGCTGCTTGTAGTTGTCGTCTGGACCTTTGTATGTTCCAAAAACTCGACGTTCATGACATGTCACTGGGACAGGCTACCCAAAGGAATGGAAAACTTTGGGGTTGACACGAAACCCAATTAAACCGCATTTCACGGGATTTTGCTGATTCGTTCATTTTTGGTGGCTGCTGTTGCTGTCTCCTCCATTACCCAAGACCTCGACATTCATGAAGCATGACTGGGACATGCTACCCAAAGTAATCGAAACGTGCCCGAGATTGTATAGGGGTGAGAGGTGCAAGTGGCTTGCATACAGTCCAGGTCAGATGCTTGTCGCGGGTGCCGTGGCGGTAACCCTTGGAGATGACGCGCGTCTTCCCCATCGCTTCTCAACTCCTCTTGGGCGGCATGCATGGCTGGCTTTGTGCGAAAGGTGCCCTGTTTCTGCAAGTCACAAAGGATTAGTCAGGCATAGTCGGGCCATAATGTGGGGCCTAGGACTCGGAACTGCCCTCTGGAGCACAAGGAACCCTTGCTCTCATACGGGTCTAAGGAGGTACAGCCAACTCTTTGACAACGGCAGGAATCAAACCTCTCGTGGCAACTGTTGGATGCAGTTTGATTCAGTAAATGTGACGTTCAAGCAAGACATAGTAAGACGGTAGCAAGTACCAGTGCACACGCACTGCTACATTTTCCCCTTCCTCTCATTGGAATGCATTGCTCGGAACGTCAGGTCTGCAGCACGCAAAGTTGTTTCAGAGCCCGCATGGCATAATATAATATATTATCTTGGAAACCTGCGTTTGAATCTGCATGTCGCTGGTGATCTAATATGAAGACTATTTTCGCCCTGATTGTTCAAGATTTGCTCAAGGTTCCACATAGGGAAAACTGACACCTTGAGTGCATCTCTGTAGGGCATTGCATCAGGGGTGAGTAGTGATGATGACTTTCCATTTGCGATGGCCTTTGCTCGCTTTTGAGTTGTCGGGATATCTTAGTTCTGCATGTCCTGTTGGTGCAGCCTTGCTCTCTTGGGACGGCGGTCAGAGAATCGTGCAGGGTTCCAAAATGATCTAAAGGTTTCGATCTCAATTATTGGCATGCCTTAGTAACCTTGTGAACAGGTAGCAATGTAGCAATGATTACACTAGGATCACTAGGCACTTAGCAGCTTTATTTTCTGGCCTAGTTTGTCGTGTAGTGCACTCAGGGTGACCTCCTACACTCCTTCCCCAAGCCCTGCAGGTGGCCTGAGTGGACCCGGTGGACAGCTGGCGGATGCTGTCGGGATCCCCGAGCCGGGTGGCTTTCGCGAAGCAGATGAAAAGACACAAGATACTGGCCCACAGCAAGGCATCAACAATTAAAGGGTCTTGTGGCACTCTAGGATGGGGGTGCAGATGGCTTGTGCTCAGCTAGCAAAACCATCTTCGTATGACCGCACCTAATTTCCCGTTTTAGACTAGACCATGTCTAAGCATCAGCGTGCGCTCCCGACAAGGAAGCGCGCAGCATGCTCACTCAAAACATGCTTTGGCAAAAGTGGACGGAGGTTGCAGCGCATGTTGATCATATCTTCACTGCATCGTACAGAATGAGTTGTGGTACTCCTCAAGCAGAAGTCTTTCACTAAATGCTACAGCATGTGGCCCTGCAAATTGAAATTAAGCTGCCTGGTGCAGCATGCTGCAGATGAATGCTTCTCTGGATTCGCTTCGCATGCGGAACACCAACAGTTTCCGTACCGCTGCTAGAGGCATGGCGCCTCTTTGCCGTGAGAGTGGGGCATAACGGCCTCAAGCTGTAGCAAACTGCTTTATGGAATGCGAAGGTCTTGCTACCTTGAAATGCGTCTTGGCGCGTACTGCATGCAATGCTGACACTGTCTTAAACCTTCTTTGAGCCAGCCGCCTTCGCAAATCGGTCAGCACCATGCGCTATCAGGACCTGACAGCCCGCTGACAGATTGAAATGAGGACGAGCTCATGTTCCTTGAATGACAAGTTGAAAGTTGTCGTAGCCGCACCTGCACGGCTCGGTAGTTGCCGAGTGCTGCAGCATGGTGCAGGGGCGTCACGCCTTGCAAATTGATCCCCCGGGTGTCGACACAGAACCGCGCTGCTGTGGACTTGCCACTAATGAACAAAGGCCTTGAATGTCGCGGTGGTTGACAATCTGCAGCAGCAGGTCTTGAGACCTTGCAGGCTGATACATCCAGCTTTGTCCGATGCCGTTGTTCTTATCCCTGGCCTTCTGACGTGGTGGTGTGCTATCGCAGCCACCTGCGAAAATTCAACGTGTCAGCGGTCCGCATTCATGTCCTGCCCCTGAACGCATGAGTGGTCGTCGAAACTCCTAAGTATAACCTTTTATAATATGGGATAACTCATTAGGTGCTGCTGCAGTTTATTTTCACTTGGCTTTGCAGGATACTCAAAAGTAATTAACCACTGTCGGGGTGTTTCTGTCTTAGATCGAGGGGTATCCCATTTTGGTAGGCGCGAGTATCGACGAAGGCTCGACATGGGTT